CAGGAGCAGTTGTTCCAACCTCTACTGCTGTAAAGACAACCAAGCCTGACTCCACATCATCACCGAAAAAGGAAGTAGTCAAACGAGAACCTACACCACCACCCGGTGAAGACACGATCTTTGACGCCAACGAATTGCGGTATGTTTTCAAGCCTTTTTGAGTTTGCCGACACTTTTTGAAAAGTCGTATTTAGGCACTATTTGCGGCCAGTTTGGGAAAAGTTGGATTGCTCAGAAGACGCTATACCATTCCGTATGCCTGTTGATCCGGATTTGTTACATATACCTGTAAGTTTGCGAATGCTGTTTGTTTTTTGCGCAATTGCACAAATCACAAGTAAATGTTCTAGGACTACAACGATATAGTGAAACATCCAATGGATTTATCAACGATTTGCGGGAAATTGGACAGTGGTCGTTATAAGAATCCATGGGAGTTCTGTGATGATATGTGGTTAATGTTCGACAATGCCTGGATGTACAACAGAAAAAACAGCAAGGTGTACAAATATTGCACAAAGGTAAGAAAAATAAGCTGTGTGTGGCATGCCTAGTCCATGCTAATGTTGCGATTTTCAGCTGAGTGAAATGTTTGTGGCTGAAATGGATCAAGTTATGCAACAAATGGGATATTGTTGTTCACGGAAGTTGTCCTTCACACCATTGGCATTGTTTTGCTATGGTGCATCGATGTGTACGATTGCAAGAGATCAGCCTTATTGGGTGTAAGTTTTTGTTAAATTTTTTTTCATTAAAAATAGGAAAAAAATCATAGATCACTGGCTTCAGGTACGAGCAAACGTCATCGCAGTATGGTGTGACCGTGTCGGAGCGATACACCTACTGTTTGAAGTGCTTTGATGCATTACCGCCCGAAGGCATCTCGTTGTCGGAAAATCCGAACGACCAGTCAAACATGGCACCAAAAGACAAATTTGTGCAAATGAAGAACAATGTGATCGACTATGAACCGTTCGAAGTGTGCAAATACTGTCATCGAAAATGGCATAGGATCTGTGCGCTTTACGACAAGAAGGTAGTGATTTTGGTTGTTTAATCGATATTTTTGCACATAACTTTTCGAAAATTCTTCGACTGTGCTTGTCAGGTTCTGTATCAGTTACGTTTTTTT